CAGCCTGCCTCATCTTCATGCCTTGTGAAATGGATGGTGCCTGTGGAGAACAGAGGGCATGTACATACTGCATTCTGCTGCACTTGATACTCCAGTTCAGGGCATCTAACCTCATTTCACTTGGAAGCTAATGTAAGCAGTTCTTACTGATACGAGTACTAAAATAGGAAACTAATAATTCCTGGAATCTGCGCTGGCCTATTAAGAATGTCAGACATTAAAGAGAACATTTCTTCGCAAAACTTTCATTCTAGGAATCAAATAGACTCTCTTAGCCCCTCTTCCATTCATTTTAATATGAACGGCCATGTAAGTGCTCTCAGTAATAGTGCTATCCCAATTTTTGTGTGACATTCTGTCAACGATGTACATTAAAAAGAGATTATTAAATGGAAGATGCTTTTAGGTCCCCATATTTTTGCCATCTGAGGCAAGATCATTAGGTTAAGATAAGAAAATAACAGTGATCTGTAGCTATTACAGATTATTTAATGCAGTAAGGTTAGATGATACCCTTTTAGAAGGAAGCCTGACAGAGGTAGAACAGTTACTGTAATTTATTTGGTAAGAAAAAGCAGCGTAAAACTCTGTAATATCTGTGACAAAAAAATAAAATTCACTTGAGTGAAATTCACTTCAGAGAGTTGCCTGCAGGAATGGAGCATACTGGAATGTTAAGAAATGTGTTACAAATCATTCATGTACAGGAAGGTTCAGGAGCAGCAGTTGAGAGTGGCCTATGGTACTGAAGGCAGCAGGAAGAGGTAAAATACATTCAGCTTTTAGTGCTTGGTTTACTGCACTATTAATTGAAGACATTATCACAGTTGAACTGAGTACCCCAGTGCTAGTGTGGCTGACAATAATAAAGAGACAGCCATTGCAGTGAGTTATTCAAAACATTCCAGTGCTTAGTACATAACGCATTAGCTCTTGTAATTAAATTAATGCCTTTTGATTTGATACCACTGATGTGAGTATTGTGGAATCTGGAGGAAATACAGGAAGAGATTTCCAGGAAGAAAGGAGAGAGAAGAGACCTCTTGCATTACATGTCTGCTGAAAAGAAAGGCAAGGCAAGACAAAGATTCCTAATTGCAGCATATCCCTCATCAAGAAGTGTGTTTGTCCCATGAGTTAAAGCAAGTAAAGACAAGGTCCCAGTTCTCACACCTCAAGTATTAATAGATTATAAAGCTGATTAATTATCTTCACAAAAAGCTCACCACACTGCAGGAGAACTGGACATCGGTAAGCCCAGTTTGTTGAAGGACTAACTTAAATGTTTAGTGGACAAATTTTACTTTCGGTGCAAGAATACTTTGAAGTTGCAATGGGCATAGTATGACAGTGTCAACTAAATGCAAGCAGGAACAATCCAGAGGCCAGTGTGAGGTACTTTGGAGGCCAAATTTAGTCCTAAATATAAAAGTATATTAAATAGAGTTTGATCAGTCGGGGCCCAGAAGACTGAGCTCTTTGTCTCTGACTGAAAGAGTAAGAATCATTTAGACTGGAAAAGACCTCTAAGATCATTACGTTCATCCATTAAGAAGTTACAGCCTAAAATGGGGTACTAGAATGGTTTGTAAGCAGGCATACATTGTCAGTGGGAGAGAAGGGACAGGAGGTTAAGGATATGATTTTCATGGTTATTTATGTGGGTATACACCAGTTCTGTGACATCAGAGTGTAGTTCTCTTTGAAGGCTTTCTCCATGGTTTAAGATGAGTTTTAGAGGAAATCTGAATGCAGGGAAGACATTGGGATTTGGAAGTGCATTTGGGAGAGCACCAAGCAGAAATGTGGAAATAAAGGAAAAAACTTAGAAGCTGATGTTATTAGTGGAACAGGAAAGAAAGGGGAAATACCTTAGAGGTCCAGATCAAAGCCCTAATGGAACACTGGACTGCACTTTCTGACTGGGGAAAATAGGAGTCTGTGACTGGTACCAATTAAGTTGCTTAATGTCTTACTAGTGAGAACTCAAAAACTGTTGTGGAGAGAAGTAATCAGGTGCAGTATCTTTTAAGGGCTATAGAAATGAAAACTTCTAGTAAGAGTTAGTAGCTGTGACTTTTGTACCGGGAAGAAATTGGCCTTGTTTTAGACATACTGTGAAGTCATGTATTAATGAGGCCCATGCCAGTCACTGCAGATAATGTCTTTCTTGAAGAGCTGACAACCTGAAGTGTTGCACTGAGAAAGATCTGGCAGCCTCAAGTGTTACACTGAGAAGACAATGCACAGAAGTGATCAGCTTGGCATTATGATATATTGAACTAGATCGCTGTCCAGGAATCACAAAGGAAGAAAAACTGTGGAAAAACATAAACATGGTCAAAATTGAGAACTGCAATGAAAAACTGTTTCTGTGCAGAGTGGGCTTGTGGAAAAGGACAGGCGAGAGAGGAAGTGGCAAATGAAACAGTCTGACATCACTTCCAAAGTGGTTTTACAAATAAGCATCAAAGTCTGAGAAGACAAGGCTGAGGAAATTTCTCAGGGAGTCTTAAAAGCAGAAGAAGGACATTGAATATTTCAGATCTGGTCCACATGTTAAGGAAAAATTACTTTTCCAGGAAATTAGTTGCTTTTACCTGCAGAACATAAATTAATGTTCTGAGAGGATAGAAATCTATCTAATATTCTTAAATCTCCAGCTGCTAGCAGTGTTTCAGTGCTTTCTAAAATGTATACCTTTCTTGTTCTCCTAGAACCAAGTTATAGTGTTTTATTTCCCAGTCAAGACTGCTTTTTGTATTCAAGAGTTAGGGTTTGGCATGTTAATAATTATGAGGTGGTTGTCAGAGTGAGGAATCACTGCAGATTTCTGAGTCACTCCACCCATCGTCTTTTTGGAGGCTTTTTACAATTGCTTTTAATTTCCCTTTGGTTTGGTGCATCTTCAGTGGAGTAACAGAGGTGTCTTCTAGGGCTTATGAGTGCATCATTTAAATTTTATGCTAAGAGAAATTTAGGTCTGAGTTTAGAAACAGTCAGAAAATCCATGTTCCACCAGATCATTGGCTGGTGCTGAATGTTTTATCTTTGGTTGTATCAACAGAGCTACAGCATTTTACATCAGGTTAGTATTTGACTATTCCTGTGTTCCAAACGCCCAGATAATATTTAGATGAAAAAGTAGAAGGGTTGAATTACTCTTTAGGAAGCAAAAAATGTTGAGTAAATTGAATACTTTCCGCCCATCAGCAAGCTGGGATAACTTAATTACATAGGACTGGAAAAAACAGCTAAGCCAAAGCTCCTAAAACATTTCCTACAGTAAATACTTGCATTGAATTGGCAGCAATTGTTTAATGTAATTTGGGCTGTTCCTCTACGTCAGCTCTGATACTGCTTTTTATTATTCTTGGAAACATTAGCTGTCTGTGAGAGCTTCTCAGTTTTAAATGAGAAGCAAAAATGTTAGTTTAGGAACAATTGTGGGTGATGGCCAAGATTTTTAAAAACCAAGAAGGAATAATTAATCAAAACAACTATCTGATCAGAATGAAATATAGAGCAGAGTGAATTAGTTTTACTTAGGAACAAAATCAGGAAAAAGCAAGAAGTATAATTTGGCTCTGAATTTTCTTCCTACTTTATATAACATATTTTTATTTGATTAGTGGTACTCAGGCATTATTACACAAAAACTGGGGTTCTGAAATGCTTTCATCCATCATAGTTAGCTACTGTCTAACTAAAGGAGTGGTAATTTCTTTTTAAATGTTTTCATTCTTTGTATCAGCTGTAACTTGAATAATTGCATTCTGGTAGCATGTCTGTAAAGAAGTACCAACACTTTGTCAAAATTATTCATACACAGAAGGACTTGAAGAAGAAATAACCCAGAGGTATTTGTAAATATTTATAAATACCGATGACCTATAACACACAAAATGTAGGCATACAAGAGTAGATGCCTGTGTGTCTGTTTGAAATATCTAGATTTCCTGGAACCTCTCTGTGGGACATTCTGCCTGAAACAGCATTTGCTCTTCAAGAGGTCATTGCATCCAGTGCTTGAATACCACATCCTGTCTTCTCTGTGTGAATGTCATAGATTCTGTCATAGGGCTTCCTAAAAATAGCAGTCCAAAACTTCCCCTGTACATCCTGCTGTTTGTGTAACAGGATTTTCACTGATCTGGTTTTTCCATGCCTATCCTTTAAAAATATATTATATGTAAAAATACATGTAAAACTCTAAAAAAAAGAGAGAAGCTCACTAAATATAAATATTCTGATTTAAGTGATTTTTATTTAAATGAATGTTTGGTTCTGGCCTTGCAAGACTATTGAATTGGACATTGGTGATAAAATATAAATTATAAATGCCACATATCTATCTATATCTGTATCTATATAATATGGATATACTTCCTCTTCCACAGCATTTTAACAGCAGTGACAGAAAAGCTTGGTCCCCTATATTGTTATGAAACTTGTTTTCTTTCCTACTTTTATATACATTTGAATGAGACTTTGTTTTGTCACCTCTATCCATATGGTGGGATAAACCTAAGGTGTCAGAGCTGAACAGTATTTTTCTTTAGCCCTTGTTTTAAAATCCTTTAACAAACTACTGGACCTTTCATCCATTACATGTATAGAAAAAGGCACTGCAGTCAAAATAGGGGCACATTCTATGGAGGTAATTTTTCTCCAAACAAAAATATTCTAAGTGTGTCTGTGTGTGTATAATAATTCACGTGATAGCAATGGATCATTCAGGCAAGCATTCCAAATCAGGCACCCCAGTGTGGTGCATTAGAAGGGGTGATTGTTGTGGGTCCCTTCATGCTTTTTTTCACTTTATTAATTGAACCAACATAATCAGAGGGAAAGTCCTAGTTTTCCATTATTTTAAAAGCTTTTTACTTGTTCTTCACCTCACACTGCTTGTTTTGTGGGATAAGCCTGGGGTTCATGGTGCTACTTTATTTGTTCCTTAGTTGCAGTTAACTGATTTTATTTTTAAATCTCTTTTGTAGATGAAAGAATTCCGAAGTAAGATGCAGTCAATCTTTCCAGCAATTCCTAAAAATAGTGAATCCAGTCTTGAATGGGAAAACTTACTTAAATCCAAATGAAAGACTCAGAGCCATTTGAAGGTGTCTCTTCCAGCGAGAACAAGAGTGGAAGTAGCAGAAGTGTCTCCTCTGGAAAACAAAGAAGACTCAGACTGAGCACTACTGACTGAGTGCATGGAACCTGGGAATGCCAGTAAACATCCAGGAGCAAGGGAGTTCAAGCCAAACCAAACCAATTAGTACTATACTTTTTAGCATGTTTGGTATAGTTGATGATATTTTCATGAGAAAATGAACCAAGATAACTTGGATTCAACTGGAAAAAAGACTTTTTCGGAGACTTAGAGAAAACACTACGTTTCTTCTTGATTAGTCGATTGATGTTATTGATTAGTAAATATATGAATATAATCCAAATAAACTCCTGTCCCATCCTACCTTTCAAGAAGAATTTTATGAAATTTCTCTAGGAAATGAAAACAGTACTTTCAGTGACTTGTCCTGTTAGGAATATAACCATCAAGTCAATCATAACAGATCTCTTGCTGAGCCTGAGGGTAAAGCATATAGTGCACTCTTCAAAAAGAAAGGACATATTTGAATTTGCAACAGAGAAAATATCTAAATGATTTTTATATGTCTGAAGGGTAAGTTTAAAACCCAGTATGCAAGTAGTGACCTACAAGCTCCTCTGCAGAGCATTAGAAGAGATCTCTACAAAGGTCACTGTTTTCTCAGTATTAACTTTTTAAAATTGGATCCCACAATAATGAATTTGATTTTGTGTATAAAAGTCTCTACTATATTTGTATTTCAATTGAAATAGTAAGTGAAAAAGTTATAAAATAGTAAGACACCCAGTCAGTCTTGCACTAATGTTTTCAGCTTAGAAAGTGTATGGGTAGGACTAATTTTGTGTGTTCCAGTCATTTCTGTGGCTCTTCTACCAGGAGAAGCAATGTGACATTTTCCACACTGCAGCAATCTCATGAAGTGTGGGTGTAAACCAGAAAGAGTAATGTCTTACTCAAACGTATTTGCAGAACTGAAGATATGTAAAACTGGAGAAATAAAAAAAAGTGCCATCAGTGAACTGTCCTCTGTTGCTTGATTATAAGATTTTCTTATCAATTGCACAAAGTCCAGTTAGTCAGTTGTCAGATTTAATAAAGTTCTTTTAAAACTTGTCTTTTGCGATTTAAGTCTTTATATTCATAGGAAAGAATATAAAAAAAAACACTTTAAATGTCAGATGAATAATAGAGAAGTATTGTTTTCCTATGAAACATGACAATAAAATAACACACGTGAAAATGGTACTATTTTTGTATTTTTGTTAGTTTCATGTGAGTGGTGATACCTGTTTTGCCTACATTTAAGCATATCAGTGCTGACTTACCAAGTTTAACAAGTAGCTGTGTCATTATAACTGGTCAGATACTGAAGTGGACTAAATAAATGCAAATCACATGATGTCCTTAGGATTACTCTTAGTTTCTAAGGTGGGATTTGAGTCGTCTTTATCTAGACTAAATAACTCACCTAAATCAGTCATTCAAAGTGCCTTGCATGTTCAGTGGAGAAAGGCTGGTCAGAGGCTGGCTTGCCCTGTGCTGAAATGAATGTCTGTCCCTGGAATTGTACAAGGCATCAGATCTGTCCTGCCTGCTGGCTGCCTTTGGAGAGAGCTGTCCTACCCTTACCCCTTACCCCCATCAGCACAGTGACGTAGACACAGTAGACAGAGTTGAGGAGAAACTCAGAAGTGAGTGGTCTTCTAGCACTTTAGAGCTCAGAGGGTTAGGTAGGTTATGAGTCTTGGCACAAGAGAACTGTCCCTTCTGGAAATGTTTAGCCAATGGAAATTAGTGTAACTGTTATTATAAAAAATAAATTTCCCTATGACAGATCAGATTAATTAAATCTGGAGGTACCCAGTAACAAGGACATACCAGATGATGCTCTTCAAAAAATACTAACAGTGAAATATACAGATAAATCTTTAAAATAGAATCACACTTACAGGGCAAGTACAGAGTGATGAAATAAATCCATGTTGAGGTATAAGGCTGTACATTAAACATGATTCAAGAAGACAGGAATTTGTAGATCATTGTATTCCAATTTATTTTGTGCTTTTGGCTGGAAACGGATTTTCTCTAGATAAGGGTTTGTGTAGAAGAGTGCAAGCATAAATCAAGTCTCAGTTGACATGTAAAACACAGGAGATCTTGGATATTTGTTAAAACACTGTGCAGCTCTCCTCACTCAGTGAACATTCTGCTGGTTTTATGATGGGTCATTTTTTCTTTCTATGAACCTATTTGGCCAAGAGTTAGTGAAAACCACAACAAAACATTGAACAAATAGAGGGAAAAGTACTTAATATGCCAATAGCAGCTAGATACCATAGTGTATGTAGTTATTGAAAGTGAGCAAATAAAATTAAGCAAAGCCCAACAGACAATAGACATTAAAAAAAAACAACAAAAAACAAACAACAATTTTTAAAAGTTAAATACTAGAAGTAGATACTGGCACAAAAAAAGTTAGTGGGTCAGCGACCCCTTAATTGCTTTCTTTTATTTAAAAATGGCTTACTCTCCTTCTCTTTGAAGGGCGTGTAAGAACAAAACAGAAGTTTGTTTTCATCATCAACTTTTCCAGTGCAAATGTTATGCTGAAGTAAGGTGATGTTTGCAACACTGATACTCAAAGTGGGTAATGTAGAATAACCACAGTGAGTTCAAATTGTTTCAAGTTACACTTCAGCTGGTCTCTGTTCCATTTCTGCTGATCTGTCTCAACTTTCTGGTCACATTTAGTTACAGGAGTAACAGAGGGCATGTATGTTCTTAAAATTAGCCTGTAGGCTAATGCTTAATAATCCATGAGCTCCCTCCATACTCCTGCGTTGCTTAGAAGCAGAAAGAAAAATAGGAAAACAAATGGTGATGAGAAGAGATCAGCAGCCTGCCCAGCTCTGCCGTGCTCATGATTACAGAGGGAGCCCCACAGTACCACCAGCCCCAAAGTCACTAACAGTGTATTTGCTCTAGAAGGTGGCAAATTAAAACAAACTGGGAATGTTTGCTTAAATTGGTCCACTGCCCACCCTGGCAAAAAATCTCAAGGGCTTTTGCTGTGAGTTTTGTCACCTACAGCATCTGCTGACTTCAACCAGGCTCCTAAGAGCTCATTGTTTTAGAAAATTCAGGTCACCTAACATGCATGCAGAACGGAGTAGCCTTCAATATTTAGGCTGTCAGTCAAAACTCTCCAGGGAGTTACATGCCTGAAATGCAATTAAGGATGAAGAGCTGAATCAACACTGTGAGAATCTGGGCTGGTGGTTGCAGAATTTCTAGAGATGTTTCAAACCTGATAGGCCAGAAAACAATCCCATCTGGGCAAATGGCCTGTTTTAGCAATTGGGATTAAGATGACAGAAGTTTTCTATAATTTTCCTACTTCTTTCATAGTGTGGACATATTGTTAAATTAGTTAATGGGAAGAAAAAAATGTTTAACAGCTAATGTGATCCTTTATGTGGCATGCCATCTGTGTATTGTGTGCTGAATGTTGCTGGCTGTGGGAGAGAGGAATCATAAAGAATTTCAGCCTTGTCTTCTTTACTGTCATTATCTTGGGCAATATGACAAATAATCATATATATGTTCTGGAACATATACAGTTTAAATCAACCTATTAACCAGGAAGACATTCTTCACAGACTTTGGAAGGCACAAAAAAGACATCATCTCACCTTAGCAATCCATTTCATGGGTGATGAGCACTAGAAACTTGGAATGGAGTGAACAAGACAAGTTATTTTTCCTTTTACATTTAAATAAAGCTATTTGCAGAGACTTTATTCAGGCATATTTGGGGGCTAATCCTGATATTCTGGAAGGGATCAAATCAGATTTTGTAGTCTGTCACGCAGATAGTTTAAAAAAATTTTAATCCTACATGTCCCCAAATCCATCAATTTTATTTAATTGGACAAGTGTTTCTATGAAAGACTTTTTGCTATTAATTGGATCATCAAGAGAATCGGTTCAGTTATTCATCAGCCTGACAATTGTGGATCCTGCTCTCCTCCCAATCTGAGGTGTTTCTCTGATCATCAGCAGAGCAGTGAGGAGGTAGCTGACAATGATCAATTTGGGTATGGGTGCAGTTCTTGCCCTGTGTCTGCTGGCTGTCACTCACTCACTCACTCACTCCAAAGAGTTTGAGCAGTCAGTGCCGATTGCTCTGCAGCACAGCCCACTCAGCCACAGGAACGTTTCCCAGACCAAAGCTCTATTGCCATATGGATGGTTTAGGAATGTGCAGGGACGACGTCTGCCTCATTAGCTCCTGCTGAAGCTGTTTCATTGGATGTAAATAACACAATAGTTATTAGATTGGAGAGAAAGACGAAGAACCTGAGGAGCTCACTGACAATTTTGTGGTCAAGTTACTTGCTTGGGATAGGAAAGGGTAAAGTTCAAGAAATATCTGACATAAAGGGGGAACAGTTTTGACAGTGGAGACTGTGTCAGATATGCCCCAGGATGGCCTCCTGGGACATGAAGACCTATTTCAAATTTAATGCTTTCTGCTTTGCCCTCCCTTACAAAAAAAAAACACAAAAACCAACTCAGAATGGGAACATTTACTTTCATGGTTGGTTGGATTTTTCCAGTACAGAAACATTTTCTGTATTCTTCCCTAGAAGAAACATTTTCAGCAGAAGACTGAACTTACTTTTATCATGCACTACTGGACTTGATTTGCATTTGTCTTTTCTGTAAGGCCTCTGGAGTTCTTGTAAGCAATAGCAACTGATTAAACTCTATTTCTGATTCCTATCCTTCCCCTTGGCTCTTGGACTATGACTTAAAATTGATAAAATGTACTGGACAGGTTATTGTTCTCTACTCTGCTTGGCTATGCAACTTATTTATTATTTGGTATGACTTATCTCAAGAGTACTGTGGAGATGATTTGCAGAAAGCCTGGGATTCAGTCATATCTCTGGGCCTGCTTCATTGCTTTCATACTCTGTTCTTCTACAGAGACATATGTAGATCTATACCAGTTCTTTATTACTTTTCCTTCTCCTTTCATTTAGGTCCTTTATTTTTCTTTAAAAGGATTGAAGAAAAAAAAGAAAGTGGTTTTAGATGTGTGGATTTTAGATGCTGACAGTAAGAGCTTTATTGATAATAGATAAACAGACAATACTGACAAGTACTGTTTTTGCAGCCCTTTAGAGGAGAAGGATTTTCAGACTGGGCAGACAGGGTTATCTGCTTTTTTTAAAAAAAATTGCCTTACTACATTATGTATTTGTATTTGCAATGCGTTCCTATGTCCTGTGGGACCAGAGTGTGGCTCTGTTATAAAAATCTGTTCTTATGGGTCACAAGTTTATTTTCATGTCATTTATTAGAGCACACTATGAATTAAAGAAAATTTACTGCAGTGATCCTGTTGAAAAAACAGCAGCTCACATATCAGGGATGACTTACTTGATGCCAAACACTAATCTGATATCAAAGTACATAGCAGTCAAAAACAATGCTTTGCAGCCAGTGATTTTCAGTTAATGTACTGGATTTCCATTCCCACTCCCTATAGCTGTCTGCAGAAGCATATTTCAAAATTCTCAATGTTAAAACATTCAAGTGAAAAATAAAGTGCACCTTATCTACTATACCACAAATTGTATAATAAATTCATCTGAATTTTTAGGCCAATGGCTACTGTATAGTCACAAATGTTAATAACTTTGCTAGCAGGCTGATAAGACAAAATAGAAACTCTTGTTTCGAGCTAAGCTTGTTTTTCCCTCTTGGTTGTTAAGCAGCATTCTTTCCCTCCAAAACTTACTGCTCTGAACTCTACTATCATTAGGAAAGACCAACAATTTTCTGGTTGCCAGCTTTTGCTACAGATAGAGAACGTTGGGGAAGAGCTTTTTGAGTCCATGTTGGAATCCTGTGGCCCTTGGCTGGCCTGACCTCAAACCAGCTATAACATGGTGGGTTTTGCTAGGGTTCTCTTTTGGGTTTTGAGTTTCTTTAAAGCTGAAACTTTGAAGCTCA